GCAGGGTCGGAGCAAGACGGCGTCGGAGACAGTCGCGTAAGGCCCACGGGCTGCGAGCATCCCTGTCTTCTGCCTGGAGAACAGGGCACACCTGCGAACACCTGTGCAGGCGTCCTGCCCGTCACTCGGGGTGCAGAAGGTATTTTCTTGCTTGGCCGTGGAGCAGAGCCTGCAACCTCTTCTGCGTATCCAAATTCGCGGCGATTACAACATCCCGAGCAGCGTTAGTCTCGATGGGCGCTTTGGGAGCTGCCGGCGCTGCCAGCCCAGATGTGAGAGAGGAACCCAGGACCGCCTGGTTTTCAGCATCCCTCTGCGAGATGCTCTCACGCTCGGCCTCTTCGCTGGGGCTGTCGTGCAGCTGAGTTTTGGGCAGCTGCAAAGTCCTTTTGCCTTTCGCGTTTCAGCAAAGCAGGGCTGGTTGGCCCAGCTGTGGCTCGGGATCGCCACATCGTTGGGAAGCTACCGCATGAAACATTTACAGTCCGTATAGGCCCTGGAGCAGTTTTCTGTGTCCATGGTGGTACACCAGCCGACCTCGGCCTCTCGCCGCGCTGCGGAGACCGAGCGCACTGGGATGGTGGTAGCCACGTCCTCAACCGGGTGGGAATTGCCCACTGACATCTCGGTGGCACCCACCGCTCTCTCTGGGCTTTCCTCCCGGGCAGGACAGACCCCCATCGTCCCGGCAGAGTTGGGCTCCCCTACGGCGTTATTTACTACAGCCGAACCCCCTTCTCCAGCAGCTGGTTTTCCCTTTGCATTTGATCTGTGTGTACCCCCAGGGAAGGCTCCTGGGGTGTTTATCCCCCAACACGCTCCGTTACCACCGCTCTCTCCCCCGAGAGTCCCCAAGCGAAGTGTCTGGAGAAGCACCAGGATGCTTTCCGAGCCCGGCACTGCAATCTCGCCTCTTCCCAAGGGGGCTCCTGCTGCCTCCCCCTGCCCCGGTGCCGTCCCTTCGGGGCAGTAGCAGATGCCAGGCTCAGAGATTCCCTGGTTTAGTTAGATTTCTCGGGAAGGGTTATGGATAGCAAGGTAGATCTGTCCAGAGTTGGTATGGCACACAACGCACCTACCCCCGGGTGACAGGTTTCGTCTGTTCCGTTCCTGTGTTCTGGGAGCAGTTGCTTCTCTTTTTGCACCAGCTTTGAATGGCCAAAGCCCGTCTGCTTTTATCACTTAAAAACCAGCCCTGTCTTTTAGCACCTGTGCACGGTGACTTGTAACCTCAACTCGCATAAAAACGGTGAAGGTAAACGGGGGCAATGAACTGAAACGGTTCGGTTTGTGCAGCCTCCCCACGGAGGGGCTGCAGGGAGGGCACCGGTCTGTCCGTGCCTGCGAGGAGAGCTCCTGGGTTCGGTGCAGAGGCTGGTGGATGCACCTCGGGGACCTGGCAGCAGGAAGGGATGAAGCACAGATCTGGTCCCAGGGCCTGTGCCTTGCTGGGCTGCATCACAGCAGCGTGCCGAGCTGCTCCGGGCTCCGGCTTCACAACTTTCTTGAAACATCAGCGGGTAAATCAATCAGTTACTGAAGTCAGCGACACGCTGTCGCTCTGCTTTTTAGCCCTGCCGACGGAGGAGTGCGGCGTCTGGCTGCTGCAATCCTGGCCCGGCTGATGAAAATGTAAATGTCAGTGGCTTCTCCAAAGCACTTGGCATTGAGGAGCCCCGGTGCCTTTCCCGGCTAATCCTGACGAGCAGCGTGTCAAGGACAGCCAGCCTCTCCAGGGCCACGCCGAGCGCCTCAACCGAGCCAGAGCCACCTGCTTCCCAAAAGCATCCTTCCCCGTTCTGCTGCTGGTTTCGCTTTAGCAAGTGCGTGGGGCTGTGTCCCGTGCCTTGTCCCCCATCCTCGGGCTGTGTCCCGTGCCTTGTCCCCCATCCTCGGGCTGTGTCCCGTGCCTTGTCCCCCGTCCTCGGGCTGCGTCCCCTGCCTTGTCCCCCGTCCTCGGG